AACTTAAATATTTAGTTTTGAGCTAAATATTTAGCTTGAAACTTAAATATTTAGTTAGCAAGTTAAATATTTAACCTAAATATTTAACTAGCCACCTAAATATTTAACTTAAATATTTAGCTAACAAGTTAAATATTTAGCTAGCTACCTAAATATTTTACTTGCTAGCTAAATATTTAAGTTAAATATTTAGCTTGTTAACTAAATATTTAAGTTTCAAGCTAAATATTTAGCTCAAAACTAAATATTTCAGTCACAAGTTAAATATTTAGGTAGCTAGCTAAATATTTAACTTGTTAGCTAAATATTTAATTTACATATTTAGCTTGTTAACTAAATATTTAACTTGTAAGTTAAATATTTAGCTTGCTAGCTAAATATTTAATTTGTAAGTAAAATATTTAGTTGATAAACTATGACATTTATAAATGTATGAATCATATGGTGAAAAACTGACTGAAAAATAAATCTGTTCTTTTTTTCTTATAAAAGTCTAAAAAAACAAAATATTTTGTGTTAATGTTTGACTGTGTAACTTTACAAACGGCACCACAAACACATTGACACACTGTTGAAACTCAGAAATAGTGAAGCAGGAGGAAATAACAACAAACACACACAGCAGTGTGTTTGTTGTGTGTTGCACAATCTGGTCAGCAGTTTGTGAAGCAAATGTCAACATCTGTAAAGAGGCTCATGTTCAAAGTAAAATAATATTTAATAAGTTTAGTTTTATTTGTTTAGGTGGGATTGTCTTTGAAAGCTGAAGATGCTGTGAGAGTCGACCTGATCCATCATCAGTTAGCAACACGACGTGTCTTTCTGTGGCTTCCATCATAAACCCAACCTGTAGACTCAGGAGACCCGGGCCTTGGTCCTCACAAGGTAATATATTTAGGACAAATGGGCGGTACAAGGTAACAAATGGTAAAACACTCAACGCTTTAAAACTAAACATTTGGATTAAAACACCTCAATAAAAAAGGATAAATTTCTGTTTGTTTTCTTAAAGAAGCTTCATGTTTTAATAGTATTTAAATAATAATTCTGTGAGCTGTTCCTCTCATTAACCTGTTGGTGGTGCAGCTGTGGACCAATAATGAACTGGTTTCTTTCTGAGATGAAGTTAAAAACTTCAGCTTTGATTGTTTTTATGAACTGATCTGAGTTTATTTATGAGCTGATCTGAGTTTATTTATGAGCTGATCTGAGTTTATTTATGAACTGATCTGAGTTTATTTATGAACTGATCTGAGTTTATTTATGA